CAGAGTGAGTATTGAAAAAATGTAAAGATCCAGGGAAACTAAGAGAAACGTGTTTCTTCAAAGGGAAAATTTCTTACCTTCTTTATATTTCGTCTTTTAGCCAGAAGTCACAAATTAACCACAACACCACAAAGTTTTGCTTATGCAGTCAAACTGTTTTAAAATTTAAGCACAGGGCTGTTTAGTTGATTTCTTCTGAGTTTGATTCAATACAAGTTACTTGATTTAGAATCTTTAATTGGCATAATGAAAGCTAAACAATGAACCCGACTTGTGTTGACAGGTGCAATAAGAAACCTAACACTACCGTTCCTGGATGTACTGCAGAAGAGGAGGTGCTTTATCAGAGTTCTGGATACTGTGGTATCCTGCTGGACAAAGACGGACCGTTTGCTGCCTGCCACCCCAAAGTCAACCCAAATGTATGTAGTAAATGTAGGAGCTAAGTTAGTTATTATTGATAACCCCACGTAAAACCATATCATTTGTCGAATTAGGAAATCTTTATTGTAAAGCAGTGACTAGTAAACACTGATTGGTTGTTTCTGCTTTCTGGGACAGACTTTAACGTAAGATCAGGGACACCATAGCGTAGTAACTCAGAAAATGAATTCTATGTTTTCAGAATCACTTCAAGGACTGTTTGTTTGACCTATGTGAACTGGATGGAGCCAGACCCATTCTGTGTGAAGCTATTGAGGCCTACGTTAATGAGTGCCAGGACCGTGGGGTTAACATCAGACCCTGGAGAAATAATACTTTCTGCCGTGAGTATTGGCTCTTTGCGATGAGATGAAAGTTAGAATGAAGGCTTTGTATAATGGTCAGTTAAATGACTGACTTTACAAAAATCCTTCATACAAAATCGACTTTTCCAAAGCCTCTAGTAACTGATTAATACTGTTAGAGACTTTTTAAAAGGTTTAAAATACTTGCTTAGAGATGATTATAACATCTAAATACTGGTACTAGTCTAGAAAGTACCCTGATGGTTAATATAAGATGTCTAATACATGTCTGCCTCTATCTGGGTTGTATAATTGACTCTTCCCTGTTTTGTTATATCTAGCACTGAACTGCACCTCCAACAGCCATTTTGAGCC